AGATATCTGCTTTCAGCAGCAGAGGCCTCAGAGCTGGAGCCAAGCCTCAGAGTTAAAGCTGACCCAGAATTAAAAAAAAAGAAAAAAAGGAGCGGTTGGGAGCTTCAGTTACCCACCAGCCTGAAAACAGCCCTCAGCCCCTCACCCAGACTGGCCAGGCACCCCAGTGGGGACCCCAACCCTGAAGGGTGTGTGACCAGCTGCAAACAGCCATCATCCCCTCACCCAGGCTGGACAGGCACCCCAGTGGGGACCCCCACCCTGATCCAGGACACCCTTCAGGGCAAACCAGCCGGCACCCACCCGTGCACCAGTCCTCTATCCTATATAGTAAAAGGGTAATATGCCTCCCAGCACCGAGATCAGTGTGACAGAGGGCAGCGCCCAAACCCCCTGATCACCCTGCAGCTCTGTGTGTGACAGTGGCCGGGGCCACAACCTCCTTATCCGCCCTGCTCTGTTCATGACAGGGGAAGGCACCCCAACCCCCTGATCAGCCCTGCTCTGTGCCTGATAGGGGGGAGCTCCCCAACCCCCTGATCGCCCTGCGGCTCTGTGTGTGACAGGGTGCGGCACCCCAACCCCCTGATCAGCCCTGCTCTGTGTGTGACGGGGTAGAGCCATAACCTCCCCATCGGCCCTGCCCTGAGTGAGACAGTGGCGGCGCCCCAACCTCCTGATCGGCCCTGCTCTGTGGTTGATAGAGGGCGGCGCCCCAACCCCCTGATCCGCCCTGCTCTGTGCGTGACAGGGGGGAGCTCCCCAACCCCCTGATGGGCCCTGCTCTGTGCGTGACAGGGTATGGAGCCCCAACCCCCTGATGGGCCCTGCTCTGTGTGTGACAGGGGGCAGCGCCCCAACTCCCCAATCAGCCCTGCTCTGAGCCCAACCAGGGGCTGCACCTAGGAATTGGGCCTGCCCTCTGCCACCCAGGAGTAGGCCTAAGCCAGCAGGTCGTTATCTCCCAAGGGGTCCCAGACTGGGAGAGGGCACAGGCGGGACTGAGGGACACCCCGCTCCCCCCCCAGTGCACAAATTTTTGTGCACCAGGCCTCTAGTCTCTATATATAAAAGCCTAAGTGACCATTATGGCTGGCCGACCAGTCACTATGACATGCACTGACCACCAGGGGGCAGGCCTTCAACACAGGAGCTGCCCCCTGCCCAAGGCCCCTGACCGCCCCCCCCCTCATCCCCCCCACCAGCCAACCTCCCAGGGTCCCTCCCCCCAGCTGCCAGCCCCCCATAGGCCTTGATCGCCAGCCAGGCCAAGGAATCCCACCCATGCATGAATTCATGCACTGGGCCTCTAGTTTATTATAAAATGGAAATTGTTTAAATATACAACAGTAAATACATTATAGATGATCCATATGACAGATTATTATAAGGCATTTATGGCTTGGAAACTTATGAGTATTTCTAAGTAAAAAGAACAGATTTTCAGATTTTCAAATACATAGAAAATAATCTCAATTTTCATAAAACATCTTATGTATAGAAAAATAATGGATAGACTTCAAATGTCAATAATTGCTCTTTCTTAGCCATTTTATGTATTTCTGTATCACAAATTTTCTATAATAAATATGCAATGTCTTTTTTTTTTTTGGTGCTATCAGCTTTATTTAGTAGAATGCAGAATGCAGGCAGGAGGTTTGTACAATAGTTTTTTGGGTTACTGTAAAAGGAAAAAAATCAATTTTATTGTAATTTTTAAAATAGGAATTAGCTTAGCATTACAGTGCCTTTTTAAAAATTGTTTTATTGCTTAAAGTATTACAAAGAGTATTACATATGTCTTTTTTTTATTCTCCCCTTGGCCTTCCCCTAGCCTCTCATACCCCCCAGTGTCTTGTGTCCATTGGTTATGCTTATATGCATGCATACAAGTCCTTCAGTTGATCTCTTACCACGCCCCCCCCCCCAAAAAAAAAAAAAAACACAAAAAACAAAAACCTCCCTGGTCTTCCTGCTGTAGTTTGACAGTCTGTTCAGTGTTGCTCTGCCTCTGTATCTATTTTTGTTCATCAGTTTATAATGGTCTTAATTATCCATAAATGAGTGAGATCATGTGGTATTTTTTCTTTCATTGACTGGCTTATTTTATTTAGCATAATGCTCTCCAGTTTCATCCATGCTATTGCAAATGGTAAGAATTCCTTATTTTTTACAGCAGCATTGTATTCCATCATGTAGATGTACCACAGTTTTCTAATCCATTCATTTGCTGATGGGCACTTAGGCTGTTTCTAGATCTTAGCTATGGTAAATTGTGCTGCTATGAGCATAGGGGTGCATATATCCTTTCTGATTGATGGTTCTGGTTTCTTGGGATATAGTCCTAGGAGTGGGATCACTGGCTCAAAGGGGAGTTCCATTTTTAACTTTTTGAGGAAACTCTATACTGTTTTCCATAGTGGCTGCACCAGTCTGCATTCCCACTAGCAGTGCACGAGTGTTCCTTTTTCTCCACACCCTCTCCAGCACTTGTCATTTGTTGATTTGTTGATGATAGCCATTCTGACAGGTGTGAGATGGTACCTCATTGTTGTTTTGAACATGCACTGTCTTTATCACCAGGAAAAATATTACTTGAACAAACCACCTAATCATGACCACTGAAGCACAAAGTGATTTGGATGCTTCTGCTCATCTATGAACAAATGTTCATTAAGAGTCTAGAAAAGCATTCTACATACGAGGGATACAGCACTGCTGGGGTTCATGTCCCAGAATCAAGAAGGGTTCAGGAATCTGGAAAAGGCTGTGCGCAGATGACATAGAAATCCAGAGACTAATAAAGAGTCTGGAGACGAGTTATAATTTTGAAAGGCATTGGGGGTCAGAGGACCTTCAGCTAAAGGAACTGAAGGGAGTCCCTCCTTGTCTAGGACCCTTGCTTTTATTAACACAATTTGTCCTGAGGCAAGGTGGAGATAATACACTTCAAAGGGTAAGATTTCAAAGGTTACAGAAGCATTCTCAGTTTGGGGAATAGCCTACGGCTGTTCAGGTGTTTGGCCAGTAGGAGACAATAACATGTAGATTAAGATGCCCTTTAATTGTCTGGCAGCCACAATAAGTTTCCTATTCAGGTTTGGGGAAATGCCTTTAGCCATTCCCAACAGGTGACTACATGTGTGACTCAACCCTGTTGAGTCCCCAAGTTTCATCAACCTTTTGATGAAATTCTTGAAATTATGACTTACTGGAATTGGTTTACGGCACAGCACTGCAAAGCAAAGTCCATAGGCAAAGCATTAGGCAAATTTACACTAAGAACCAATGAAAGAAGAGAACTTCAACCCTATAATGAGTCTTCAACTTTCTCACTCTGACCTGAATCAAACCTTCCTACAAGCATGTGAGCCCTATTCTTCCATTTAAAAAGATCCTGATACGTTTGTTTACCTTTTTTCCCCTCAATTAAATTGTGGCTACATCCATGCATCCTCTCTAACTGTGGTAGCAAGCCATAACATTAGTATGAACATAGAAAGAAAAGTTGAGAAGTATCTTAAGGAGCTAAGGAAAATTTATAGAGTTTTTCACATCTCAATAACAATTTATACCCCATTACAAGTGTTTACTAGTAGAGAAGAAATGTCACTCCACTTAAATAGTCTCATACAACACTATCTTTTCATTTATTTATTTCCTAACTATAAAATTCTATTACATTGAACTATTATCCTATATAATAAAAGGCTAATATGCAAATAGACCGAACGACTGAACAATAGAATAACCAGTTGCTATGACATGCGCTGACCGCCAGGGGGCATGTGCAGAATATGGTGGGCATCAGCCGCAGCAGGATGGTGGAGCAGGTGAGTGGGGGCACCAGACCAAGGCAGGGTGCCAGTTGCTGTCATCAGTGCAAGCTTGTGGTGGATATTGAAAATTCTTTGCTCCAGCGCACCGTGGTCCTGCCCGGTGCTCGCACCTACTGCCAGTGCCGGCCCCACTGGCACCTGGTGCTGGCGCCAGAGCTGCCACCCGCACCCACTGCCAGCGTCAACCCTTCTCACACCTGCAGCCGCCACTGGAGCCGCCGTTCATACCCACTGCTGTGCCCAGCGCCAGTCCCAATCACTCTGCGCCATCAGCGGGTGCAAGCAGGGCTGGTACCATTAGTGTGTGGGAGCAGTGGCAGCCTGAGCAGGGCTGCTGGCAGAGAGGGGGCTGGCAGACAGGGAACTGGGGGCATGGTGGGAGGGGCTGGATGAGGGTGCAGAGGATGGGCAGAGACCCGTCCCTGTGCCTACCGCAGTCTCACAGCCCACAGTTCCTTTCAAGGTGCATGAATTTGTGCACTGGGCCCCTAGTATTACTATAAAAAACTACTATTTTGAAACAGTTTACAATGTTTAAGCATTTATGTTCGTTGGTACCAAATATAACTATCTATGAGAAAGCTTATTAGCATCAGTCTTTAAAATACAGTGGTTTAAAATACACTCCGATGTAGCTTATAGCATAAAATACATTAAAAGCTTAAAGAGTGAAAATCACCTCTTCCACCCACCCAAGAAAGTTCATTGTATGAACTTCTTTTAAACTTTAAATATGTTTCTTCATATATATTAAAATCAGACAAAAAAATAAGTTTGAGGAAAAGGACTTATACGACAAGTTTAATAAAAGAGAGGAACGGAGCCCTAACCAGTTTGGCTCAGCGGATAGAGCGTCGGCCTGTGGACTCAAGGGTCCCAGGTTCGATTCCGGTCAAGGGCATGTACCTTGGTTGCAGGCACATACCCAGTAGGGAGTGTGCAGGAGGCAGCTGATTGATGTTTCTCTTTCATCGATGTTTCTAACTCTCTATACCTCTCCCCTCCTCTCTGTAAAAAATCAATAAAATATATTTAAAAAAAAAAAAAAAAGAGAGGAACGGAAGGAAAGAACAAGGGAGGAAATAGACAAGAAGGAAAAAGAGAAAAGAAAAGGAAAAGAGGGGGCGGGGGTTGGGGGTGGGGAATGGAGAAACTACTTGCCTCTATGGACCAGGTCCCAAGCCTGATCAATTTGCTGCACTGTTGGGTAATGACCGCAGTCATTGAAGTACTTAAGAAGCTCACTTCTTTCTAATCCTTGCCAATCTTGTCTCTTAGCAAACATTGTTTCATAGTCTAAAAGAGGCGGGGGAGGGAGGGAGATCAAAGAAAACACTTTCTTTCAAAATAATATATCAAGTACAAACCACCTAAAAGTTTCATCTGGATTTGAAGCAAATTTAACCCAGTTTTATTTTTATGTTTAGTGCTAAGCCTCCATACTTAGTGTAGCACCATGTCAACCTCCTACAGACGGTTAGAAGGAAGATAAATTTGCATTTGCTTCCCCAAAGAGAACACTGGTGTCCTTTGGCCTGGTTTACATGACAGTTATCTACAGACCCTACATACACGAATGCTCAAACTATATCATAAGACAAAGCTTCTAGGTATTCATTGCTTAGTAGTTCCCCTGATTTTTTTCACCTCTTTTTGACCTCTACACATTCTAATTACTTGAATTTCTGATTCTACTTTGAACTGATATTCTACTTCTGATTTGGCCCCTACGTGGAATGATGTATACTTTTTGGCTGACTTCCTGTATTCTTACTTTCTAGTTTTAGGTACTTGGCTATTGCTGATTCATGGCTACCACATAAAACCACTCAGTTGGGCATTCCCTCACCTATCTCCCATACATGGCATGATTCAGGGGTTAGATAATGACTAAGAGAATTGACACATACATTTTGTAAGTGTAGTTTTCCATAAACATTTTTTCTTTTCGAAACGGTGATATTGAGATTCTATTCTTAAGTTTATGGATTCCAGCCATGGGCAAACTACGGCCCTCGGGCCGGATCCGGCCCGTTTGAAATGAATAAAACAAACAAACAAAAAAAAGACCGTACCCTTTTATGTAATGATGTTTACTTTGAATTTATATTAGTTCACACAAACACTCCATCCATGCTTTTGTTCCGGCCCTCTGGTCCACTTTAAGAACCCATTGTGGCCCTCGAGTCAAAAAGTTTGCCCACCCCTGGATTAGCCCCATGAAGCTGATTGTTAACTAGCATTTACAGGATGACGGGTTTTGATTCAATGTGGGTTTAGCTCTGAAAAATGCACTCTGGATGTCTGGATGACAAGAGTACCAGAGAGGTTTCTAACAAAAGTTAATGAGTCACCTTGGCACTCAACATATGGACTTCAAATTTCTGTTCACTCATTCATTCATCTGAGGTGGACAGTCATGAGACATTGACAAATCCAAGCAGTATTTAGTGATTGCCTAAATATGAGTAGCTATTCCAGATCCTGAAGCACAGCAGCAAGTTCATATTTAGTGTATCTATGACTTTTCCTCTCATTTCAAATAAGCAAACTAGAGCAGTTGCTAAAGGTGCCACCATCCATACAGCCTTGTGCCTTACATTTCTGTGCACATAGACCTGACTTTTCATTGCCAGCATCTGTATTTCATTGCCTAAAAGCTCCCTCTGGCTGCTGGACTCCACTCTGCCCACCTGAGGAGCAAGTCAGAAGTTCCAGGAAATTGAGGCCCACACTGGAGCAGCCCTCAACCACTGACTGGGGGAGTTGATGGATAAAGACCCAGCAGTGAGGCAAGTTGGCTGTACTGTTCTCTAGAGGAATTAAGCTTCAGTTGCCCACATGATAATCTGCTTGATAAAAAACGCTTCTTTTTTTTTTTTTTTTTTTTTTACTTCCATCCCTTCGCTATCTCACTTCCCCATTCTACTAAAAGTATTTCCTGGGATCAACTCACAAATAAGTTAGTTGTTAGTTCAAATTCTTGTCTCAGGGTCTGATTCTAGAGAAAGCCAAACTAACACAAAGAAAATCACTTTTTATTTTTATGTTAAAGTAAATATATTTCTCCTTGAGGTACATATGCCTTTATTAGTTTTTCCTTGAATGGATCCATTTTATATGTCTCACACTAGATCACACTAGATGCACATATTAACATTATCGTTTTAACTCTATTAAGAGAGAAATTATGTCTTTAACCTGTAATTAGGCCCCCAAAAACAAACATTTGGCAACATACTATCAGAATTAATATTCTACATAGGTTAAATTAGGGTCCATATAAAACTTAAATCATGACAATTAATGAAATGTTCTGGTCATTAAAAGATACTTAAAAGGTGCATGGCTATCTGTCAGATATCAAATATCAACCTAATTAGCAATCAAACTATGGGAAGAATGGAGAATTTCGTAAAGAACATGAAGACAAATAACAACTTGAAAATTCTATAGACTCTTGAGTTACTTTAGACCTCAATGCAAATGGATGCCTTAGTTGGTAATTCTTAAAATCATTCCTTCAGCTTTCTTGTATTGTTCATATCCTATGCTGGACAGAGCACCCTTGATCTCAACTTGACTTCTTGACATCCTTTCCTCATGTCAACCTATCCTCAAAAATTCTCCAGGGTGATGTGTTCAGATATAAAGTCCTTGGTCCACAGCTCTCTACAGGCTTCCCAACTTAGGTAAGGTAAGATCCAGTGGTCTATAAAGCCTGATGCAACCTGTGTCCCTACTCCCATCTCAGTTTGCTCTGCTCTGGCTCACAAACTCTATCCAGCACATTAGTCTCCTGGCTTCTTCCCACAGTAACTGCATCCAACTTCCAGGCTTTATCCTTGCTTCTCCCTCTGCCTGGAGCATTCTTCCGCCCTCACTTTCTTTAAGACTTTTACCCACATTCTTAGCTAGAAACTACCAGAGTCCAGACTGGAAAACATAACCACATTTTTTGTGTGTGTGTGTGTGTGTGTAGTCTATTTTCTCAAACTGAAAAGGTTATTTTTAGATGCAGAAATAGTGTAATCTGCAGTTATAAGCCAAGGAGGGGAAATCATGAAAAGAAAGTAAAGCTAAGAAAAATGAGCAAAACTCTATAAAATTAAAAATGAATTTAGTGACAAAGTTTGGGGGAATAAAGGTAAGACAGAGTAAAAATAGTGGGGGCATTTAGATAAGGAATATGTGATTTTGAAGTCAGTAGCTAAACATAAAGTGAGTGGGGGAAAAAACGGTGGTCAGTGTAATAATTGTAAGGTCCTAGTACATATTTTAATAAAGATTAATATATCTGTACATTCATACTAGATTATTGGATATAGAATTATTATCCATAAAAAAGAATTATTCAGAAACATCTTAATTACTTACATTTTTTTCTATCCATCCATTCTTCTAGCTCTGCATAGTTTATAATTAGTCTTGTCCTCCAAAGACAAAGTCGATGTTTAACACGATGGATTTGTCTGCGATACATGTTTATAACTGCTTTCAAACTTGGCCCATGATACAAAGACTATAAAATAACAACAAAAACAGTAAAGCTTCTTATATATTCTGCTACTTATATTTGAGTTTGTCCCTTTCATTTCACTAAGTTTCTTAGCTTATGGACGCATTTATTGTTTCATGCCTACGTTGGTTAAATACATGTGTTATACAGTGAGGGAATCACTGAAGTTCAGAGAATTTCATTGAATTTATCATATACTAGTACTTCCCACAGAACAGAGATTTCAGTGATGGATACTTTCATTGGAGCTTCATAGGGTGATGTCCAGATTTCTATAATATGTAGCCTACCCAGCCAGAAAAAGAAAACAAAGTTTTATTAAAGCATTATTCTATAATGAACAACTTTTACCAAAGCTATACACTCTGGGTCCTCAAATTCTTGTATTTCTTCCTTTTGAAAATTGTATATTCATGTATTTTACCTAGTTTTCACTGGACTTTTTCAGGTTATTCTTGCTGATTTCTAAAAACTCTATTTTAAAAAGTAACTCTTTTTAGCATATGTGCAAATTTTCTTTATGTCATCTGCGACTATATTTTTCTGCATATTAATTTTCTACACTAATACTTTAAAAAATAAAATATTCATCTATTTTAGGAATTTTTTCTTTCTAAGTAGCCAGTTCCATTTTATCAATGCAATTATTTTCACATTTTACACTTTCTAGCTCATTAATTTTCTAGGTATCTTGATTAATTCCCCTTTTTAGCCTATTTTCTCTGTTCTCAACTTCGATTTTCACTATTTTGTAAGAATGTATTTAAAGGTCATGAATTTCCCTGAGTCAGCTTTCCTTTGATGTGCTTTGCATACTATTTTACAAGTGAAAAAAAACCTGAAGTATAAATCTTTAAATAACTTTCCTAAGGTCCCATAGCTGGTAAGTTGCAGAATTAGTTTTGAAATGAAACTAATTAAAAGAGCCCACACTTTTAATTATATACTATATTCCTCTTAATTTACTTACATTTAGTATGCCTTACCTATCCTGTGAACTTTTGTTCTGACTTCTTTCCTAGTTTATTTCTTTTTATAACACTTATGATTATTCTTGCTTTTGTCATTTATTTTGTTTCATCTGATTCAAGGTTATATTTATAATTTTATTTTTTTACCATTGCTTAATTTTGCGATTCTTCTCAGAAATTTAAATGTTATGCTCAACCTTCATGTCTTAAGTTAGCTATAGTATCAATGAAATACTGCTTAATTTGCTTGAATGAAAAAATAATTAGCATAATGTCACTACTTTCCTCTTCTCCTTTAACCTTCCTGCCGGGAGCCGGTCCATCCTTGCTGTTTCAAGGGACCCAGCATATATGGCATACTGTTCTTAATATGTTTGCTCACCTTCTTGGCACTATGTGTTTTAACCAAGGTCTCCTCTGAGAAAGGTTGTTTCCCCAGGTAGGGATTTTCCCCTGAAGTTAGGGAGGGAATAAAACCTCTTAACTAAGTGCCAGGTGGGTAATTAATCACTTTAACTACGAACAATCATGCTTAAGCTACATAATCTTTACTCCCTGGAATGGAGATAAGAAACGCCCTAACTTGCCAAAACCGGTTTGGCTCAGTGGATAGAGCGTCGGCCTGCGGACTGAAAGGTCCCAGGTTCGATTCCGGTCAAGGGCATGTACCTGGGTTGCGGGCATATCCCCAGTGGGAGATGTGCAGGAGGCAGCTGATCGATGTTTCTCTCTCATGGATGTTTCTAACTCTCTATCTCTCTCCCTTCCTCTCTGTAAAAAATCAATGAAATATATTTAAAAAAAAAAAAAAAAAGAAACGCCCTAACCTTTGGAATAGAGATTGATAGGATTGGAATCAACTGGTATAAATACAGATGTAACAACACAGAACTTAGAAGACAGAACCTACACAGAACCTAGAGACAGAAGAACTTCGCTGGAGAGAACATGGCAAAAGATCCTGGACTGAACCTGACTACAGAAATTGGCAAGAGAACCTGACTAGAACCTGGTGACTGAACCTGGCTGGAGAACCTGGACAGAACCTGGCTGGAGATCCTAACCAGAACTTCGCTGGAGATCCAGAGCAGAACCTCTCTGGAGATCCAGAACAGAACTTGGCTGGAGAACCTGGCTGGAGAACCTAGCAAGAGAACATGGACACAGAACTTCGCTGGAGATCCAGACCAGAACTTGGCTGGAGATCCTGGTTAGAGATCCTGGCTAGGCTGCTGATCAACTGAACGCTGTCTCTGTGTCATTCCTTCTTCGCCGACTCCGTCCACACCTTTGGGACCCCTGGACCTGCTGGGGTTGGACCCCAGCACCTTCCACCTGAATGCCATCAGAATCCAGGCAGATCCTTAATGTTTGCTAATGTCTTTCAACATTTAATAACATTTTATATGTTTATTTTTAATCTGCCTTTTGTTCAATAGGCTCATTTAAAATAATAATAATAATAATAATAATAATAATGATGATGATGTCAGACTTTATTGGACTATTCCCCAGCCTATGAATCTTAGTGGAAGGCAAAAACCTCCTACAGTTTGAAGCTACAAGTCAGATGCTCATGACCCAAGCTCTCTCTGTTGCTAGGATACACACACGTGATGAAACTTCATCCATTATCTACACCAAATCCATGTTTTGAATCAAAACTAGTAATGCTTTTAAAAGCAAAATAGTGGGAAGTCTATTTGTGTAGTAGAGCAACCGTGGCAGCAATGTCCATTTTCCAAGGGCAGTATTCGTGGAGGCCAGAATACCTCAGATTCAGGATCTATATCAGGTTCTTCCTATGCAGGATGTGGCTGGAGCCCTGGGAGCTACATGCAGTATATCTTCTTATTTCTGAGTTTAGTTCTCAATCCTCTGCCCAATATTATCCTCAGTATCTTCCAGCTTAAAGCTGTCAGTAGGTTTCTTTTGCTTATAATTGAGAATCAAGCAATGCATTAAATTAGAACAGGAGCCAAAAGGTCCCAGCTTGGCATGTGCTGCTTAGACAGATGATGCCATTTGCAGAGAGAGCAGGAGCTTTGGGCAGACACCAAAGCTAATTTGAGCATCTTTCCCTCTGAATTTAATAAATATTCTTTGGGGTACATCACTTATTTTATGAGGAAAACCTTCTCAGGTCTGAGCATTCGGAAGATTAGTCAGAAGGTGTTTATGGTTAAGAAGCTGCAGTTCTTATCCCAGCGTGCCTCTCTGTCAGGCTTCTGCATGGAAATATGCCTCAGCTATGATGTCATGGACACGTTAGGTTGTAAATATTTATATTTCCATGCATTTCTCAAGTCACAAATTATCTAAAAACTTGATATCTATAACAGCAATATTGAAATAGAAAAGTCTCACTGGAAATTACTAATTACAATTTTCCAATCCCTGTTAGTTTTAAAGGGTAAATGTACCATACTCATCACACCACAACATGAAAAAAAAAGAAGAAAATGTTTTTCAGTAGGTATTTTCAGTCTGCCTTTTATCTTTTTAAAAAATATGTAAAGAATTAGTTGCTCATTTGGAGAATTCCATTACCATATAACACTCAGTGGGATTTCATTTATTTGATTTTCTAGCAACAGTAGCCCCCTTTCACGTTTATTAGCCACTTATGTTTCTCCTGCTGTAAAGTACTGGTTCATGTGTTCTGCTTATTTTTTTCTATTATTATGATGGTTTTTATCAGTGTGTAAGATAGATGTTTGCATATAACCATTGTGCAATATTTCAGAAAATATTTCCCCACAGTTTAACTTTTTAAAAAATGTTATTGACCTATAACCAGATGTCTTGACCATACTCATTGATTGAAGTCTAAACTTGTCTAAACAAATATGTAAGACAATATCCCAAAGGATATTTATTCAAAAGGATATTTATTCAAAACCTTTTAAAAACAAAAAGGAAAAGGTTTTAAAGTGACTAAACCTGTATACAATGAAATAAAAATTGAATATTCTGAATAGTAATCTTAAGTGCATACACATAAACACATTTAATAAATATACAAAACACAAATAACATTACAGATGAGTTTTTATTTACTTCCTCACCCACAAAAGAATTAGTGAAGCCCTTAGCCACAACATAGCTATAAAGACATGTCTCTCTCTTGGGTTTTGTCCTTTGTCTTCTTTGTGTCCCCTGCCCGAAGTCAGACTGATGACTTTTATTACTTTCCGAAGCACATACTCAATCATTCTATATCTAATTGCTTAATATCAAGACTAAGTACACATTTTTGACCACCTGTATCACTGAATCTTATTTTCTTCCAATGCACACTGTAAAACCTTAGCAGTCACTCCTGATGGCCACAAAATTGGTGCCTCTATGAATACACCTGTGGATCTCCATGTCATCTCCCTGATGTGAGCATCCCCCAGTTAGGTCTATAGGGTCAGAAGGGAGTTTAATCTAGCCTTAGTTTTTTTTTAAAAAAAATGCATGTTTTTATTGTTTTTAGAGAGAGAGGAGGAGAGGGGTTGAGAGAGAGAAACATCGATTGGCTGCCTCCTGCGCAGCCCCTACTGGGGATCGAGCCTGCAACCCAGGCATGTGTTCTGATCGAGATTCGAATTGGTGACCACTCAGTGCATGATACTACTCTGAACCAACTAAGCCACACCAGCCAGGGATGGCCTCAGCTATTGACAGGGCAATTCAATGTCCATGTTGAGCCTGATTTAAGAAAAGAATCCACCATTTTGCAATGATTATTGGCTACTATTGGTACTAGAATGTCTAATATTTTAAAATTTCTGGAGACATATAGACTTAGGTTTGATTCTCAAAATATGAGTATGCCACTAGCTAGATGTGTACCCTTAGACAAGACATACTCTCTGTGTCTTCCTTTTCCTAATTACTAAAGATAATTATATAAGCAGGAGGAATAGTACCACTCCAATTCTTGATCACCAACTTCGGTCTGGGTTCTTAAAGTGGCCTGGAAATTCACCTGTGTTTACTAGTCATCTTTCTGCCATTTTCTATAGAAACTTAATCTCCACAAACATTCACACTCACCATCCATATGCTCACAGAGAATAAACAGATAGCAAGGGAGAAACAAAATTAGCGCAAATATAGGTGGTCCTGGCTTTAAAGTAAAAGTAGCCCCAGAACTGCTTTTCGGTTAAGGATAAGCCAGGCCTTTTGTTCAGAATCTCCAGCTTGACACAATCAGCAAAGTAGATTATTTATAACATTTTCTTAATCCAAAAAAGGCAGATAGAATATTATTTAGAAAAATCATGAGTTTACTGACCAGATGATTATTCAAAATTTTACTTGAATCTACATTAGATATATTATAAACACCTCATAATATTTAACAAACACTTTACCTTGTTCAATATTCTGTGGTATCTTCTGCGTTCTAGCCACCCTCTGACAAAAGCCTGCACGACGGTGATCATTCTAATTGTTTTTTTGGTGATTATAGATCTGGCCCTTTCCCGGAATACTTGGAAAATTTCTATGTGTGGCCCAATTCTTTTAACTTTGCTGTCAAATTTACTGGTTTTACTTAGACTAGAAGGTGCCCTAAAAATAAAATAGAAAATGTTTTATTAGAGTTTATTAAAAAAAACAAACAAACACTGAAAAGTCTTTAAATTGTTTTACTGATGAGTATATTGAAATAAGAAACATGTCATAATGTGTACACAGAATTTATATACATTGCTTAAACCTGTCAATGGGGTTCTTCAAAGAAGGTTGAACATACCAGAATCAATTTAGCATGTATAAAATTAATCTTCTGGAAAAAAGAAAACTCAAAATAAAGTGAGCTTCTCAAAGCTTATTCACAACTATTCAAAAGAGAGAAATAGAATCCAAGGCAAATAGTATTTTCATACAATGAGACAAGTTAGTCAAAGTAATTATACTGTCCCAGAAGCCATTAAACTAAAGACTTCTTCGTACTTATATGGTGGTGCTACTCTACTTAGCAACCTTCTGAAAATTAATTTTATTTTCCAAATACTATCAATTGAGAGGCACAGTGATATTGGTAGGGTCATGGACTACAGGATCGCAGAAGTGAGGGATCATACTGGAAACAAGGACAAGCCCTGCAATACTGATATTGACAGCCTCTGTAGTGACGAGAACATATGAAAAAAACTGCAGACTTTCTGTCATGCACAGACGCTTGCTCTGTAACTTTAGTATTCTTGCACCTGCATTTTTCCTTTATATATAGGTTGTATTTTTTTATATAGTAGTCAGTTTTTCAATGTCTTCCAAAGTCCAGTTTCATTGTACTGGTTAGTATACAAAAGGCTTTTTATTCTTTTTAATTGCTTTTGACTCTGCAACTTGTCACAGCTGAAGTTCCAATGAGATGCCCAAGTGAACTTCACCAGAGCTGAGGCTTTCCCTAAAGTGCACTGCCTAGAGACCTCTGAATCCCAGGCCCAGCTTTCATGATCCCCACAGTGAAAGCCACGGACTCTATTTCTGCTTTTTTTCTCCCCCTCTGAGTCTGTTTTGATGTCTTCATTAAGCTGATTCTTAATGCATCTTGTTCTGTTTTATACAAAGCCATTATTTTTCTTCATTTAGTAAGTGAAATGTTGGGGGTCTGATTTTGATTGTTTGACCCATCTAGTCAGTTGGTTTGTCTTGTAGCTTATGGCATGCTCCGAAATACCCTGTATTACATTGTTTGAATACCAGTATAGCTAAAATCATTCAAGGGATAATTTTGGGCCCACTATAACTGATGTCAGCTGCAAGTCATGAGATGTTCATAACAAGCATTTCTTGGAGATCCTTTTTGGTTCCTTGATCTTCCCACTCCCAAGTTACAACTGACCAGTGACATTGCTCAGGCACTGAAAATTGTATTCCATGTTATGTTTGACCAATTGCTAAAGATGTAGTATTTAGATTGTTGGTTTCTTTGTGCTCGTATATATATAAATGAAAAATGTCCTTGTTCTCCTTATGAAAGAATGGAAGTTAACCTTGTACAGTTTCTAGTAAATGTAACTCTTTTGTGTCTGTGGCTTCTTCTTTCTGTCATTCTCTCTCTTGAAAAAACTTCTGTAGATTAATGAGTCAAAAATATATTTTGTTCTCTGGAGACATATCTTATTTAAATAGACAAAACTATTAGAAAAGGAGGGAAATGAAGAAGAGTTTTTTGTTTGTTTATATTAAGACTAGAGGCCCGGTGCACAAAAAGTCATGCACTGAGGGCGGGGGTTAGGGGGCGGTCCCTCAGCCCAGCTGCACCCTTTCGCAGTCTGGGAGCCCTTGGGGGATGCCTGACTGATGGCGTAGGACAGCTCCCTGGGGAGAGCGGATCTTAGCTGTCAGCCGGACATCCTTAGAGCTGTCGCTGTGCTTGCTAGCCATGAGCCCAGTTTTTGGCTGAGCAGCGCTCCCCCTGTGGGAGTGCACTGACAACCAGGGAACAGCTCCTGCATTGAGCATCTGTCCCCTGGTGGTCAGCGCACATCATAGCGACCGGTCATTCGGCCATTAGGTCAATTTGCATACTACCTTTTTATTATATGGGATTGATATTGAATAGCTTAGAAAAGAAGATGTTCTGATTTCTAAGAGGATTTTTGTTTGGTTAATATAACCAGTTTTATGAGTGGACTTCCATATATGAGATAAACAGAATGGAGATGAAGTGGAAATGATTATTTCTGGCTTGTCCAGCGTTTCAAGACCTACTATAAAATCTAAAAGATTCTGAGTTCATGGCTTTTTTTTCCTCAGGGAATAAATAAGAGAAATGTTATTATAGAAATGCCCAAATGAGCCAAGTTAATACCCAAAGTTACATTCTCTAACAACAAAGTGTAAGTAAGTCTTAAAGTGATATGTGTGATTGTAAGTTGATGTGCGATGTGTATTGTTGAATCTTCAGCAGTGGTCACAAGAGTAGTTCTGGTCTACTAAGTGACCCTGAATGGCACACAGTTCTTCGTTATCTATGGAGAAGTGTGTGTGTGTGTGTGTGTGTGTGTGTGTGTGTGTGTGTAAGAGAGAGAGAGAGAGAGAGAGAGAGAGAGAGAGAGAGAGAGAGAGAGAATTGAAATTAAGTTGTTATGTTTAAAAGCTATACTTAATATAAAAGAACGAAACTATGTTAAGTAAAAATGCTATAAATAAATACAAACACATTTACCCAATGATGGATGTGTTTTGTCTGATTTTTTATCAATGAAAAATAAAATAATTTCATCTTAGGCCTTAGACATATGGATTTTGATCAATACATTTCTAAATAATTAAAATCTAAAAATAAAGAAAAGGGAAATTTGGGGTTGAAGAATAATTTATAGAAGGCTTAATGGAATGTGAACTATATTAAAAACAATGGGTTGAAAGACACTATAAAACATACAAAATTTTGACAGATCAGGTGTAATGAGCTTAGTCATAAAAAAGAGAAGTGCTTATTAATCCTTGTTTATAAAATGTGGCATAGGTGATATATAAAATAAAATTAAAATTTGATTTACTTTCTCTTATATTGATGAACTGATTTTTGAGTAGACTATCTGCTCTTAATTTGATAAAGGAAATATCAGTACCTTCAATATAGTTTTCTAGAACATGAAAGTTCCTTATATCACAACATATTCCTTTTATCATGCTCATGAATCTTTTTTCTTCTTTGTGATCTACTTTTTTTTGTAAAAACTGGTATTCTGAATATTTAGTTACTTGTGGCTGCTACTTTTTTTATTTACTCAAAAGGTACCTATGACTTTTCCTCATATTTTGCCTATTCTGAAAATTCTTTCCAATATTGTTTTCTCCAAATTCAAAAACAAACTGTTATGTCTTTTTAACCTATCTTTTGGGTGTGCCATGTGGCTGCAGGACTATACCAAAGATTTCTTCTTCACTATTAAAAGGAGGAACGCTAGAAATGGCAAGGCATTTTGTCACGGTTGTTATATAAATGAACCAAAGATAGTCCTTGTATATTGGCCCCTTTGTTGCTTACTTCTTAAGTCAGGCTAGGACCATGAGCTGAGAAGCCTGCTGGCTCTAAACTCAAAACTGTTAGACATCCAATTATTTAAACATGGCCCAAATAAGCATATTTAGAGACTGCCTGCTTTGCATATACCACAAAACTATAACTAACATCTGTTGTCATAGATAACACAAATGCTGGGGGTAAAAAGATTGCACACTATGGCTGCCCTTTGGGATTCTCTTAACCAGAGACTCCCCATCATGCTGCTGAATGACATCACCTAAATATTAAAGCCCCTCTCTGACTCCCCCTCTCTGCTACTCTCTTCTCATTCTGGGTGGTGGCTCTATGCCATCATCTCTTGATTGTTTTCTGTGAGAGACTTCCCCTCTCATGAAAAGTTATCTATGTGATGCCCAAATAAAGCTTGTTATGTGCTAGTGCCACCTCCTAGCCATATCATTTCCTTGATTAGCCCAAAATCCTTGAACTTATTACAATTCCCCATAGTTTATTTCACTCAGCATGATATTTATCAGCTGTCTTATTTATCAAAGTCCAAAATATGAAAGGAGGTGAGTGATCAAAGAAAAGTGGTGCATCCTTAACTTTAATATATAACAATTAAAACATCCTATCTAATAAAAGGTGAATATGCAAATTGTCCCCTCAGGAGTTCAACCAGGAGACCTGGAGTTCGATTGCTCTCTATGACGTGTGCTGACAACCAGGGGGCGGCATGGAACATGGTGGGTGACCAGTGGTGGCGGTGGGGCACTGAGAAAGTGAGGGAAGAAGGAGGTAGGGAGGCCGGGAGGCAGGGAACCTGATCAGCCCTGATTGCCGACTAGGCCTAGGGATCCTACCCATGCACAAATTTCATGCACCGGGCCTCTAGTTATTAATATAAATGTACTGGAAGCATACAGAGAAAATTGTTGCAATGATGGCCAATTAATGACTCCTTATATCCCCATCTTTGCAATTTGATTTTATAGTTCCATCCATCAAGAGGGAGAGTCTATACCCACCTATATATTTAGGCTGACTTTGTGAATTGGTTTGACCAATAGAATCCCGTGGAAGTGGTGCTGTGACAATCCTTAGCATGTGCCAAGAAGCCTTACACAACACAGTTCCGTTCTCTTGGACCCCTACATCTGCATGAGAACAAGCCAGCAACTCTCAAAGGATAAGAGACCACATGGAAAAGAGACTAGTTGTTTGCAATTTAAGTGGGTTGTACCCAGTGAGTGATATTAGCTGATTCTGAAGCAGATCATCAAAATTGTCACATGAGAAGAATAATAGCTATTTTAAGCGACCGTATTTAGTGATATTGTTGGAGCAATACATAACTGATACATGTACTTATGTTTATACCCAAACACTAATAAAATAACTGTCAAATTAATTTTTAGATTTTTTTATTTTAAAGGTAAATTATCTCTGTCAAGTAGTCATACTCATGACAAGCAGTTTATGAGATAAGTTTTTTGTTTTTGTTTTTTTAACTTGAGGTTTGTGAGTGTCCACACTGTGGGTAATGATGTTCTTTTTTCTTTTTTTTTCTTTTCTTTTTTTATTG